TATATTTAAAATTTGAATCAAAATCAAAATAATAAGTCTGATAATTGATGGTAATTCCTATGGGCGGCCGGCAAATCCCCCTTCTTTCTATTGCAAAGGTCCCATTTATTCTCATTTTGACATACAAGGTTTAATTTCACGATTCCTCAAAGTATTAGCAGATTTTATTTTTAAAATCCTGATGATATATTTTTTTTGTAAACAACTTATAATTATGTTGAGAAAATTTTTATCGATCATTGACCACGTTCCTTTCTATTGCAAAATCTTATTTTTTGTATGTCTATCCGCAGTGGATAATGTTGTTCAGGTGAAAGCGATAGAAATTTTCTTACGAGTGTTTCGTGACAAAAAAAAATTTTTTTTTGATGGTATATGTTTAAGATATTCTTTCTATATAATGCTACGTAACTTTGGTGATCTAATGTTACGAGAAGGTAAATTAGTGCCAAAATATAAAATTAGAATTTCTAATTTTATCAAATTTTTTTTTTTTTTACAGTATAATGAATAATGTTCTTGTTTATTATAATAAACACTACAAGTGATTTTATCAAAAAAAAAATTCAAATGTCAAATAAATATATTAAATTCACGATATTCCTTAAATTTTAACTTAAATGACATGTAAGAATTCGTACTGAACACCACTACTGTTTAATACACTTAAATATTCGGCGTTTTCACTTACTTTTCTAATACAATACATTTCCAATTTTTTCAAACTATTTTTACAGCCTCTCAAAAAACTCCCCAAAGCAACAGAGTCAAAAGGCAAACTATTCCAATTCCCGATTTTCAATACTTTGATAGTATAAGGCAAAACTTTTCCCAATTCTTCTAAACATTCATTCCAATCACTATCTTCACAACAAATAAAACTAAATGATTCCAACTGCTTACAACTATGCCAAAGCGAAAATAAATCTTCACAATGTAACCTACGTAATTTAAGTGAAATGAGTTGAGCACAATATTCAGTAATGCACTTAATTATTCTGGATTTTTCTATTAAGAACCTCCCATCCTCTCTGATCCAAAAAATATCCAAACGCCTAAGAGAATTCGAAGACAATTTCAGCATGGTTAATAAAAATTCTAAATCATCATTAAATTTATGAGTGTGATAAGTGAATTCTACTAAATTGTTCCATAATCCCATTACTTCACACAGTAAAGTACAATTCGCACATTCTATTATTCTAAATATCTTTAAATTCTGTGTTAGCTTGGCTAGAGAATTGAGCGATTGTTTGGTTGAGAAACTAAAATTAATATTTTCAAATAATAAACTAGCTAATGGTTGAGGTGATTTCAATTTGGAAAATATCGGTTCGAAATATATTACGTTTTGTGTTACAGGACATTCCAAGTCCAACAAACGTAAATTTTTTTGCGAATTTAAGAGAGTTACTAAGGAATCTCCTGATAAATGGTCATAAATATTTCTAATTCGTACATGAATGATTTCTTGTGATACTTTTGACAAGGCGTCTATGAAGTCACGATTCTTATAAAGGGGAGTGATATCTTTAATAAATTTTCCATCAAACGTAAATTTTTTAATTTGACTTAAATTCTCATTATCTATCAACAATGTTACAAAGTATTTTAACATCTTACATGGGGAAATTGATAATGATCGTAATTTGATTGACCTTCTACATAATAATCTTGCCAGTTCTGAGAATATTATATCATGCTCTTGATAATGCTGCGTCCTTCCATATCTTGTTTCGGTAGTACAAACATAAACATCAAACCTTGTATCAACAACCAAATCTTTCAAAAATTCCGGGTAATTAAACATTGGCGTCTCGTCAGACAAATCTACAGTGAATGCCTCAATATCTTGAATTCTCCTGATCGATTCTTTATTCAAACACTTTAAATATGTCATCACTACCGATTTAAATGCTTTTTTAGAAATTTTAGGTGAAAATGGATTTTCCCATAAGATTTGAACTATTATTCTACACCAAAGTCTATTCACCAAAAGACATGAATGTAAATCGACGCATTTGTTCAGAGTATTAAATATTTGTATCAAACATTCTGGTGATAATTTCGAAATCATTTTTTGCCGTCAACCTCAACTTGAGTAAAGGAGGGTGAAAAAAGGTAAGGATAAGAGAAACGAATAGTGTTTTGTTGTTAAATATATATAAAGATATATAGTTTTTTTTTTTAAAAAAAATGCTTTTGTATGTGCTAATCTATCCTGTTTATATAAAAAAGAGAGGATCGTACAAAATTCAAAATCGTCATTTTAATTTGTAGATGGAATTTGTAATTGAATATCTTCCTTAATAAAGTAAAAACGAAATGATGCGGCTTGTAAATTTCGTGGCTATGCAAACTTTAAAAAACAAAAAAACAAAAAAACAAAAATTCCTTTTATTCAATCCAAAAGGGTGTACATACAAGAATTTTTACCAGTATAAATTCAGGTCGTAAATGAGAAAAGGTAGGATTGTACTTTTTATAATTATTTACTTTGTATAGAGAATTTCTTTTTTTGTTAAACTTCAATGCTAAAGTCATGTTTGTATGGGGCTTTCGTTTATTTAATTAATAGTCTCACAACTGTTACATCAAGTGTATAATACGTCATTTTAAATCTGATACGCAGATTTTATTAAAAAAAAAATTTTTGATATTCGTTCACCATTTTTTTTCAATGACCTTTTACAACGCTGTGGCATTGAATTTACAAGTTTTACAAGATGAATAATAGAATTTTTTCCCATTCCTCCACAAGAAACTCTCTAATTCCCTAAGATTTTTGGCCTACGCAATTCCACGTTCCTTTTAACAATTGCCAAAAGGTTTTCAGGTCTGGACTATTCCATAACCTCCGGGACATTACTATAAAGGAATTTCTTAACAATTATAGTAGTATGCTTAGGATCATTGTCCGCCATTTACTCGTAACATACTGTGCACTTCCGGGAGTTGCTTTTCTAATATTTCTGTATAGAATTTTCTTTTAATACTATATAACTATTATAAAATTAATTTGTTATTGATAAAACTAAAAGCTGAATTTTGTTATTTTTAAAATAAATTCAATATTATTATTATAAGATTAATTTTAATTAATATAAAATACTAAAAAAATTATTTAGAATTTCATCAATTAAAATAATATATTTAAATTAATATAGTCCTATTTATTTAAGCGTAATTTTTTTGTAATAATTAATTATTTATCTTTTCTTTACTTTAAATAAATAAAAATCTACAAATTTTTATATTAAAAAAAATTAGATAAAAGCTAAACAAATTTTTGATATAAATAATCACTGATAAATTCTTATTTAAATAATTTTTTATTCTATATTAAAACATTAATTATTATATCAAATTTATAAATTTTGATAAAAGATTTTTTATTATAAATTTGTATTAATTTAAACTTTTTTATTTTTAATAACTAATATATTATCATATATACTGGCCTACCATAAATTACCAGATTTAGTCATATTAATTAGCGTTTAGTTTCACAATCAATGATTTCTTCATATTATACATATAAACAAAAAAAAATAAATTGTTTTTGCTAATTTTAAATGCATGAAAATGAGTTGTCAGAAGCTTAATGTGAACATATTATTGGCGCTTATTTGAGTGGTATTAGTCAAAATATTATTTCAGTTCAACTTGATATTTTTACTATAGTGCGCTTAGTTTAAAACCAACCAATATTTTATTTTGCAGCCAAATTTTTCAGGCTTATAATCATATCACGTGAAATAAATTTGATTGGTTAACATATCATAATTATGTGATTCACTTTATTATATATTTATTATATTATCAGGAATTCACTGATGTGACCTATATTTTTTTACAGCATATAATACCTCTATATCCATTAATTTTTTCCTATATGCATCTATAAATCTCCAAGCTTTGTGAGTATAACATCTGATTATTTCTAAAGAAATTGAATTCAATACTTCAAGAACTGTTTTTCCAATCCTTTAAAAGAATAATCACAATTATTATGGGTTTAATATTTAGCAGCACCCCAAAACATTTTAATAAAGTTAAGTTCACAATAGAACTTTGGATAAAAAATAACCTTATGCCTACTATTTTCAATAACCTCTCTAACTAATAGCCTTTGTGTTAAAAATCAGGTTAAAGTGAAAGTAACCAAACTGCACAACAATTATCTGTAGTTGAAGAATGCTTTTTGCATTCAGAACAGATACAATTTAAACCCTCTTCTGATCACAATTCACATTCTTCTAAAATTAAACAAATTTCCTTTAATCATCTATTTGAAAAATGCATTGATTGTCTTGATCCATCAGGCATTATTCTATCTTTAAATTTTCCCTTACCACTTGATTTGAGATTTACAGTGTGCGATGAAAGTATTCAGAATTATGTTTTCATTTATTGTACTTCGAAAACAACTCAAAAATACTTGAAAAATTAAAATTATATATTTTATTATATAACGAAAAATAAATATTAAGCTAAGTTAATAGCTTAGCTTATTGCCATCTTCCTCAATTATTTGTTCCAATCATTTTGGCATGCTACAAATCAAATTAAGAAGAATTTCAGGCTCGATTTCCTTCCACACTTTTTTATAAAAACATCTATAGTAATTTGATTTTTTATTAATTACAAGATTGTTGACCTCTTTTTTCACATGTCTCTTCCAAAATTGACCACAAATTCTCATCAGATTTAAATCCAAGCTATTCAATCACCAATCTAATAACCTCGGACATCATTTAGAAAGAAGTTTTTTAGTTTTCTTGACCATGTGTTTAGGGTCATTATCCTGTTGAAAGACCCAATACCTTCCTATTACATAATATCTAAAAATGGCTAATACAATGATGTTACGTGAAAAAGTTTATTTAATAGATTACATATTGCAGGAGAAAATCGTGATTTTTTACATCGAATTTTAATTTCAGAAACTTTCGTTGCGTACTGTATGTTTGATGTAATTAAAGCATTCTCTGCATAAGCGATATGAAATGTTATATTATCAAATACAAATATATCAATTTCATCAGAATGTAACTTTTCAAAAATTGGAATGGCTTTTTCAGTAATCTAATAAAATAATTCAATTAGTAATC